ACTTCCTACGCAGAGTAACTCTAAGGATCCCGTGTCCAGTGAGAGCAGATGCAGGCAGCTGGGGGGCGTTTCACTGACGGGAAAGCACGGGGTCACCTGCCTAAGGGAGACGAGGATGACACGGACACCCAAGCCTGCACTGCAGTCACCTCTGTGGGCGACAGGGCCCCACACAGACATAAGCGCACGTTAATCTTACACACAGGTGAATACACACCCGTACATTGCCGCTAACTGGACCAGCCCTGCCTTGCTGGAGTGGCTCTGTCTCAGGAACCCTGCTCTCGAGCATCCAGGGTGACCATACCTGCTGATTAATGAAGAGACTGGCACTGAGGAGACGGTGGGCTTCCCCTGTGCTCTGGACTGTTGCATGCAAACAAAGCCATCCTGTTCATAGCGGCATGTTCACAGCGAGATGGTGGGCTGGGGGCGGGGGGACCAGCACTGTAGAATAACACACTTTGGTTCCTCCATGTGCCTGGAGAGAGCACAGCCCCAGAGGCCAGTGTTTGCAAAGGCAATTCGGTTGCAGGAAGGGGAGAGGGGGGAGATCTGGGGTGTGAAAGGGGGTGGAAACCAGGAGCTCTAGCCGTGGGCTGCGGGCCCTTAGAATGTGGAGGACCAAACATCGAGGTCCCTGCCGAGGGACCAGAAGGGGAGATGACATCAGTGGGTGCTGGGCCAGAGCCCTGGCCTGGAAATGAAACCGAAGACCGCACCTCTGTGAAAGGTGGCCTCTCCTCCCCGTCAGGGTGGCGCCTGACAAACTCCCAGGATTCATCACCAGTTCTTGTCACTCCCTTCAAGTACGGGATTGTGAAACGAGAGCGAGAGAATGCGCTGGGCAGGACTACACCGCACACTGGGTGGGCCCAGGTAAATGTGGAGGAGCATGAAACACCAACAACTCCTGCATCTGTGGAGACGCTGTCACAGTTTGGGCCAGTGGAGCAAACAGCCCTCCTGGATCAGGGGTCGGCCCTCAGCCCCCCACCTGCTGAGGGTGCTGTGTCCTTTTGCTCCCCGAAATTCCCCCACCCCGCCAGCGTGACACAGGGTCAGAAAGCTGGGTCACAGCTCTGCCCACCACAGCTCACAGTATCTCCCAAGTGGGAAGGCCTCTGCTCCAGGCTGCCCTCCCCTCCCCCAGCGAGTGAGCAGGAGGCTCACTGCTCTCATGCTGGTCCTCAGAGCTACTGCGCTCCCGCACGGAGCAGAGACCACGGGGAAGTTCCTTCACTGCCGCAGGAGTGACAATGCCCTGGGCCTCCAGGTCCAGTGTCATGTCCATATCCAAGGGCACGTGGGAAGCTGGCATTTCCCACACTCCTTCCAACAGGAAGAAGCCAGCGGTCCTCTCAGTAATCAGAGCAACAGGCAAATCAGAGCATTCAGCAACCCACAGCGAAGGCGGAACGGTCACCCGTGAGAGGCTGGAACTCGATCTGACCCCAGCAAATGAAGTAGCTGCATCATTTTCAAATGTTCATTTTCAGGGCTGGGCCAAGATCTAGGAAATATATTGATGAAAACAGACCCACCTGAACGTGGCATTTTCAGTTGACCTAATGGCTCATTTGTATTCAATACACTCATTAGGAGACTGCAAAGAATTCCAAGCCATAGAACCCTTTGTCTTTCAGAATGGTTACAGGATCGCCAGGTGGTATATTGAAAGGTATGACAAATGGGGGCAAATTAAATTTGGGGGTAAATTAAATCAAACAAGGGTGTTTGAAGGCCAAAATCCGATGCTGCGTGGCAAGGTTTGGGTTGATAGCAGTGATGGAAAACAAAACAAAACAAAACAGCCCCTTGTGACCAGGTTGAGAAAACAGCCAGGTCACAGGACCTATTCCCAGGGCCCTGGAGCAGTCAGCAGGGAGTGTGCTGGCAGCCTGGGAGGGAGCGCGGTGACATTGAAAGGCCAGTGTGGGGTGGGGAAGGGCCCTGTGCTCTCCACCCAGCTGAGTGATGAGCTGTCCTAGGCGGGGTCCGGGTGCACCTGGCACAGGTGGAAAAGTTTCCTTGAGGCAGCAACACCTCTGCCCACCACAAAGGCCTCCTTACCCAAGAAGCTCCAAGCCCTCAGCCCCTCCCCAGCCCCCCAGAGCCTCAAATCTGGAACCCATATTCAGAGTCCACATATGTAGTATGGACAAAACACATGTGCTTTGTTTTTATTTGGTTTGGTTTTTTAAATTTTTTATTGAGTATTAGAAAGAGAGGAAAAGAGAAGGAGAGAGAGAAACATCAATGTGAGAGCCGAACATCCATCTGCTGCCTCCTGCGCTCCCCCTACTGGGGATCGAACTCACCATCTGGGCATGTACGTACCTTGATCAGGAATTGAAACATCAACCTTTCAGGGCACAAGATGATGCCCAACCACCGAGCCACCGGCCGGGGCAAAACACAGGTGCTTTGGAAGCAGACAGACCTGTGTTCAGACCCCAGAGCTGCCTGTTTCCATCTGGGTCACTTTCTAGCTGTGATATTGATAAAGCCTCTCAATTTCTTTGAGTCTGAATGTCCCCATCAGGAGGGGGCACTGTGACATCCACCTTGCAGGGGACCTGGAACAACCTGGCACCCACTAGCCTTAGCTGTTTGCATCCCCTCCCATTCCTGGTTGTCTCCAATTTCCTAGCCTGTCTCAGGCCCCTGCCACTTACAGACACTGAGGACAGGCCTGTGGCTCATTGCTCTCCTGATGCTCAGAGCACCTCTGGGGTGTGTTCGTAGAGAATCACTCTCTGCTCACACTGGCCACAAAGCTTTCACCCAAAGCTCTGGAGGCCACTAGCACAGCTCAAGAATTTCCCCAGGAGCCACCTCCCACCCTCTGCTCCAGACCTTCTGGCTAACTCCTGTCTGGACTTCCTAGATTCTAGCCACTGCCACTACCTCAGATCTCACATCTCCTCCTTCTCCCTCCTTCCTTCTTTCCTTCTTTCTGCATTTATTCTCCTCTCTTCTATTTTGCCTCTTCTCTCCCTTTCTCCTTTCCTCTCTCTCCTTGCCTTATTTCTTCCTTTGATGACTGTTTGCATGGCCTTCCAAACTTTGATTTCATCTTACTCCCAGACACTACCCATCACCTAATTCCCTCACTCCCAAATTCTTCCCCTCAACCAGACCCTGCTCCCTTGCAGCTAGACACTATCACACATCTGGCAACTGCAATGAACATTTGGTTTACAAAAAAGTAGTAGAGGTGAGTTTGTTCTCTTATTGAGACAGACCCTAGACATCTGCCTACTCTGGTCCTTGTTCTTCAGCCCCCCCATCAATCCCATGGGCCAATTCACATCCCTCCAATGCATCCTCTCCTGTTTATGTTACCAGATTAGGCCCCTGTTGCTTTCAACCAAAGAACTTCATGAACTAAAGAGGACAAGGCACCAAGGTAAACAGAGAGAGGAGACGCTGGCCACAGGGGAACCCTGTCTGAGACTATCCCAGTTGTCACAGTGAGAAATGACTAGTTCCTAAGCCAAGGCAGGAGCAGTGAGTGTGTAGAGAAGGGGATGGATTAGTGAGCTAATGAGAAAGCAAAGACACTAGGGTCAAATGTGGCAGATGAGCCCACCACAGGCCTCTGGGGGGTGCTGGACAGAAGATGGGGCCCTCGCCAAAGGGGCAGGTGTGGGAGAGTGAGATGACGTGACCGGTCATGGGCACCGAAGGACTGATATGCCTGTGGAACACCCAGGGGAGGTCATCCAGGAGGCAGCGGCTTCTGGAAATCACCCCAAAAATAGATTATTCCCCAAGGATGGTAAGGAGATGCTCCTGCCTGGTCTTCTGGAGAGCAAGTCCCCAGTGGGGAACTTCAGGGCAGAGGCAGAAACCCTCGTGGGGAAGTCTGAAGGCCTGGCCTCAGTCAGGCTCCCCACCATCCTGTGTCCTCAAAGGCAAGCCACTCACTATTTCTAAGCGTCAGTGTGCCCATCCGCAGAATGGGGAGGGAACGGCTTCCGCATTCCTGCATCAGGGGGAATCAAGAGTGTGAGAGGGCTTATTGCTGCTCATGGGCAAACAGGTTGATACTTCAGGCAAGGCAGGCCGTGGGTGAGGTGGGGCCACTTTAGATCAGGATCCAGGCTGCAGAGGTGAAGAGGAGGAAGGCAAGGGCCCTGACACAGGTGCATTTTATTGGGTGTGGCCTACTTTGACCCACCTACAAAGACTACTTCATCCTCTTAACCAAATGCGAAAGCCTCGCCAAATATTTGCTCTTGCTCCCAAGCCCCTGTGGGTCCAATATTTTGCTCTCCAGATTTTCAGATTTAAATCCAAGCTGTTAAAGGCAGGTTTGTGCTGGTCCCTGGATGGAGCTGTGAACAGAAAGGTTCAGGACAGCCACAAGGGTTCATAGAGGCCGGGAATGTTCTTCTGAGACTCGAAGACTTCCCAGGCCCATGAATGGCAAGGAGGCTCTGTGGAAGTCACAGAGCAAGCAGCAGAACAGATGACACCTCTCCCTTCAGCCGCTGGGAAACAGAATCATGGACTAGACCAAGGTAAAGCTGCAGGCACTCGCAGTGAATAAAAGGCATGATTGAATGTTGTCACCCCGAGAACTGTAGTGTTCTGTTATGGTGTCTCATTTTCAGAACCATAGGGGAACCCGAGAAAATGGACGAATGTAATTCAGGACCCAGCCTGAGTGTCCTCCACAAGGACAATGGGGACGTGGTCCTGGGGTGAGCAGGGACCAGCCTCAGGAGCATTAACAGCCTAGAGTTCCCAATGGGTTCTGAGATACTGAGGTTGGGAAGACCCAAATCAAGGCATCCTCAGGACAACCAGGAAAGTGAGACTCTGTCAGAGGGCGGTGTTCACTACATGGGGCCGCTGTACCGTCCGCCCCGTCCACATGGCCAAAGCCCACGTGCGAGACCTTGGAATTGACGTGCCTTTCCCAGGCTCAGTGTCATTTTGTCCTTAGGGCTGGGATGCACATAAAACATTGAGAAAGCACTGACATGTGGTAGATGCCCAATAAATTGTAGCTTTTATTTCCCTAAGGCCCCACAACCTGCGTCCCGCACAGCAGCGAAAGCCCAAATAGATGGAGTTCTCCTCCCGCTGCTCTCAGCCCCCAGCAGGACTTACACATGCACTTTCCCAACCCAGGGCTCAACGTCTCATCTGCCAACAAGTGGTGAAAACAGATGAGGTGGAAAGCCGCTTCTTGCAAAGTCTATGCAACTGGAAGTACATGATTCTCAGTCGATGCTCATGTACCTGTGCAGTTCAGTGCAGCTGCTTTTGTGGGCAGATCATGGGAAGGGTCACCTCAGCCGTTTGGGTCATTGCCCAGATGCTCCCACAATAGAGTCGGCTTCACAATCGAAACTGCCATGGACTCCAGGCTCAGTCCGAGAGAGGAAGCTCTGGACACTCTGGGAAAACAGCAGTTCCAAAAGTATTAATGAATATTTTATTATGTGTAAATAATAATGAAGAGAAATGTATAAATGTCCCTCCTCCCTGTTGTTAGTACTTTAAGATGCATAAAATAGGAAAAAAAAAACTCATAAAACATTCCGACATTTTCACTTCAGGGCCATTTAGTTTTGCTCATCGGTAGCATTCCCATCTACCTTGAGGTCTTCTTGCAAGACTTCTCCGTGTCCTCGCCCTCGGCTCACAGGGACAGTTTGGTTGTCTGCTTCCCCCCTTGCTTTGTGCCACATTCTAGAATCCAGTCTTGATAAGAGTCTGTCTCGAGAAGTTTGATAAATAGTGTCTGGCAAATCCCTGGAGATGGACACTCACGTCATGAGACTGGTGGGGTGGGGAGTCTTTTGTTTTCCTGTTTTTCAAATGTATTTTTCAATTACAGTTGACATACAATATTATATCAGTTTCAGATGTACAACATATCATGATTAGACATTTATACAACTTATGAAGTGATTGCCCCAATAAGTCTAGTACCCGCCAGACATCACACAGAGTTATTGCAATATTACTGACTATATGCCCCATGCTGTACTGTATGTCCCTGTGATTATTTTTATAACTGTCAATTTGTACTTCTTACTCCCTGAATCTTTTTCATCATGTCCACACTATCCAAAACAATCTACAGATTTAATGTAATCCCTATTAAAATACCAATGGAATTTTTCACAGAACTAGAACAAATAATCCTAAAATCTATATGGAACCACAAAAGACTCCAAATAGCCACAGCAATCTTAAGAAAAACACAGTTTGAAGTATCATATTACTAATGTCAAACTATACTACAAGGCTGTAGTAATCAACTAATGGTTACTAGCATAAATGCAGACACATAGATCAATGTAATAGAGAGCGCAGAAATAAAGCAATGCTTATCTGTTCAATTAATCTATGACAAAGAAGGCAAGAATATACAAGGGGTAAAAACAGTTTCTTCAACAAATGGTATTGGGTAAACTAGACAGATACATGCAAAAAAATAAAACTAGACCCACTTTCTTGCACCATATACAAAAAATAAACTCAAAATGGATCTAAGATTTAAATGTAAGACCTGATGCCATAAAACTAGAAGAAAACACAGGCAGGAAACTCTTTGACATCACTCTTAGCAATATTTTTTATATGTCTCCTAAGGCAAGGGAAACAAACAAATTAGCCTGCCATTTTAAGACAGGCATCAGCACATTTCCCACGGCTCAGAGGAAGGCTTTTTGGTCATTCTTCAGTCCTAACACTGGCAGGTCCTGCCACTTAAAGGACAAGTGAGAATTATGTGCCCTCAGAAAACAGAGGGGAAGTGGGAGAGGGTAGCTAAGAACCAGCATCTGTAATTTTTACTGGCGTCACATACCTAGTTCCATTTCAAGTTTTTTAATTCTTCAACACCAACTAGGGGTCCAACAGCACAATTCACTTCTGATATAACTACCTGGAGCTAAAGCAGACCCAAGAGGTTGAGGGCTCTGTCCCAATTCAGATATCTGCTGCAAATAGAGCCCCCAAACAACTTCCACTGCTGTCCATCTGACCAAAAATTTAGGGAACCCATAATTTCCCTCAGGTTTGATAATGTGCTAAGGAGATTCATAGAACTCTGGAAAGCAGCTCTACTAAGAAGTATGGTTTTAGTATTAAGACTACAAATGAATAGCCAGATGGAAGAAGAGCATAAGGCAAGGGATAGGGTGGGATGTGCAGAGCTCCCACGCCCTCTTCCGGCGCCACCTTCCTGCACCTGGCCATGTTCACCAACCGCAAGTTCTGATAGCCTTGTTGTTTCAGAGTGTTTACACAAGTTGTTGTTGTTTTTAAGATAGACATGACATTAAATCCTGGTCATTGGTGATTGAAGTCAATCTCAAGTTCAGGAGGTCAAAGGGGCGTGGCTGAAAGTCCTAATCTTCTAATCCTGTGGTTGGTTCCTCCAGCAACCAGCTCTCCATCCTGAAGCTATCTAGGGACCTACTAAGAACTACCCCAGGTATGGTCTCAATCAGGGGTGGAGAACCTTTTTTCTGCCAAGGGCTTTTTGGATATTTATAACATCATTCACAGGCCATACAAAATTACCAACTTAAAAATATAGGTCAAACATTTAATTAACTCACCTCTAAAGCCTTGGCAGAGCCAAACCAAATGATTTCTCAGGCCTTTGGCCGGACATTCCCCATCCCTGGTAAAGGGACTCCTTATGAGTAATAAAAGGCACTCCCATCACTCAGGAAATTCCACGGGTTTTAGGAACACTCTGCCAGTAACCAGGGACAAAGACCAAGTATCTATTTCTTATTATACCACAGCCAGAGCCAGGCTGAAATGCTGGCACCGCCATACATCACGTGACTGGCTGAGTGAGGCACTCACGCTCCTTGAGCATTGGGTTCCTGGTCCATAAACATCCCAAGACCTCCCCCACCTACCTAGCAGGTAGGCTGCGCGCATCCAGGAGAGTGTGAAAGTGGCAAACAAGTGTGAGTTCAAAACTTTCCACATGCATTAGATTCTATTTCCTACCCACTAGTGTTGCTAAAAATCAGAACCAGTCAGAGCTCTCGCTCACAGCTGATGGGAGTGTTGATTGGCAAGCACACTAAAAAGAATTGTTTGTTAGTTTCTATGAATTAAACACTCAACTAACCTATGACCCAGCAATTCCACTCCTAGGTATTTACCACAAGAAATAAAAACCTATGTCTACAAAAGAGAATTGTACCTGAGTGTTCAGAGCAGCTTTTTCTCCAAAAAAAGACCTGGAAACAGCAATTGAATAGGTAAAGAAATTGTGATGGAATAAAAAGGAATGAACTACTGTGGTCCCTGAGAAACAAGATACTGACTTAGAAGGGCTCCTGGGGCAAATGGGGACATCTGTAATACTGTCCACAATTTAAAAAATAAAATAAGCATATCCTCAGTGAGGATTTTAAATACATACATACATACATGCATACATACATATTTTTTAAAAAGCAGAGCCTAGCAGCTGTTTCTACACTGGGGGCTCTCATGCAAACAGCACTTCACAGAGACGCCTACACTGCTCCTGCCATCTGAGCCAGCCCTTATAAGGCAGTTCCTGGAATCCTGTCTCAAAAATAGGACTGAGCTTTTCCTCACTCAGTCAGAGCTGCGCAGCTATGTTACTGGTGAGATGACAAGACCTTGGTTCTCGTCTTCTTGAAGGAAAGAGTTCAGTTAAGAGACAAAGGGCAGCAAAGAAAGCAAGAATTTATTGGCCGCAGCAAATGCACAGTCAGGGCAGTGAAACAAGGAAGGGCATAGAAGCAACAGGAGAGCCTAGGCTGGGCTGCTGTGGCTCACTGGGAAATCCGAGGAAAGAGAGCCTTGGAGGCTCAGGGGGTTAGCCTGGGACAAGCTGCTGCTGCCCAGTGCTCCCCTGGTTGCAAATCTCTGGGGTCCCTTAGAGTTTAGGAGATGCATGCCTGTGGGGGAAGGGAAAAGCAAGGCTGTGCTCCCCAGAAAGAGAGCTCACACTGGGTCCTTTGCTTTGATGGTGTTTATCTCTCGCAGGTTGGGAATCTTAGGAGAACTCTCAGAGGAGGATCTCAAAAGAATATTCATCAGCTTTTCAGGTGTGTCCTTCCAGGGTCGTGGTCTCCACTGATTGGTCTGCACAGGGCAGGGGGTCTTAGTCAATGGAACTGATCATGAGGCAGCCACTGCATCACTTGTCTCATTGTGCAGCTTTTCTGGGCCTGGAGCTGAAATACAACTGAGGCCTCCATATTATCTTTAGGGAGGAAAAGGTCAGGGGGTCTAAACTGCCTGAGCATCAATATGGGGTCCAAACCACATGACCAGCGACATGCTAGGGGAGGAGAGGTTACCCTGGGGTGAGGCCCTTATTTCCCCAGTTTTGCCCCTTGGTAGGCACCCAGGGCTTTCTGCCCTGGTGACCTTCTGTACCTGGCCCATCATCCTTGCTCTGCTCCTCTCTCTCTAACTGCCTGTTACAGCTGCATCCCCTCAACTTCTTCACCAACCAATCAGAGCAGCTTCATTGTGACCAATCAGTACAGTACCTTTTGGACCAATCAAACTGCAAGGATTTGGAATCCTCATTTACAAGAGAATAAACCAATCAGAGACAAGGGGTGAAGAACTCTGTCTATAAGTCAGTTCCCCTCTGACTCAGGGGCGTACACTTTCCTTTCCACTGAAGACAGCAGATTGTGTTTCCCTGGCTGGAGGGCTGGAGCTGAAACACTAAAGATATCTCCCTGGAGCAGAGCAGGCCAGACCAGAGCACAGCAGACCAGTGCAGGGCGGAGCAGACAGGCCCAGACCACCAAAGAGCAGAGCAGGGCTGTCTAGCTGGACAGGGACCTGGCCCCAGGGCCTCCTAACAGCCATGCTGTATCACAGTTGAGCTGTTTGCACTGAATAAAGTTTGCTTCTTCACCGCACCCCATATTGGGGATTCCTGTTGGTGTCCAATTGACACCAATTACCATCAGTTGACATACTGATGTAAAAATCCACAGGGATAAATCTTAAAATGTTAAGAAGCTAGACACAAAAGGATACATACTTTGTCGTTTTATTTATATTAAATCTAGAATAAACTAATCTAAAGAGACAAAAGTAAGAACATGGTTGTTAGGTGAATGATTGGAGAGGGGCATGAGGAACTTCTCTCAGAGACTGAAAATGATCTATATTTTGTTTCCAGTGGAGGTTACACAGCATATATAATTATCAAAATTCTCCAAACTGAAAGCTTCAAATCTTTCCTGTTACTGTATATTGGTTGTACCTCAATTTAAACCATTTTTTAAAGCCCTCTTAGGAAGGACCATGGGCCTAGGAACTGCACGGAGGTCTCTGGTTAGGAAAAGGGGCCCCTGAGCTGAAAGCACAAATCCCATCTCATCCTACAGGCCAACCCTGAATTGCTGAGTTGAATTAGTTCCTGGGGACTTGCTAAGGATGAGTTTTGATGTCTATGTGAACACAGGTTTAAACTTAGCTCTCCCTAAATCCTGCCGAGGATTCTATAAAGTGAATTTCCTGAGTCACAGTCTTTGCCTGCCTCCCCCAGTTCTGAGGTTCCAACCCAGAAACTCCCAAGACACAGCAAGGTGTCATTCATCTCTGATCCTCCATGCCTAGCAGGGCGAGAAGACCAGAGGTGCTCTATAAATTCTAAAGTGTACTAAGTTGATAAATACCAAGGTTGGCTATAGACAACTCAGAAAACCCAACCATGGATGCCACAGTGCCCAGTTAGTCAACATGCATTGACTGTATTAACCATATAATTATGGAGTTTCTACAACCCAACAGTGGTAGGGGTGGGATAGCATTCTCATCATGTCACATACCAAAGAGACAGCAAATGCAGGCCACTTGCTTAGTAACTGTGTTCTAGGGGGAGCAGAGAACTGGGGTAATATCTCTCTCTCTCTCTCTCTCTCTCTCTCTCTCTCTCTCTCTCTCTCCCTCTCTCTCTCTCTCCATGTTGATGGGAATAATCACATGTGTGTTTTGTGAAAAGATCTATATGGGGAGAAGAGCCACATGAGTTCCTTCACTTCATCCACCTCATCCATTCCTGCTTTCTCAACTTTCTTCTGCATTGAAGCACAGGGAGGAGATGGAAGGGGTTGGCGGACACAACTCCTGCTTGAGATCCAAGATAGACTCCCGGACACATCCCTGAGTTAGGTCAGATTGAATTACCTGCACCTGGCCCAGCATCACTGTGGAAACCAATCCACCTCCAGGAAATAATGAAAACTGCTAGTGTAGAGTGAACTAGATTTTTTTTTAAAGACAGTTACTTGGGGCTTAAAAAGGAGTGATCAAGGGTTGATTCTAGTTAAGAAGTAAGAGGTCATACCACCCACCAAGGTTATGAGGATGCACAGAAGCAACTGCTTATAAATCTGGTGTTGAAGTTGGAGCTCTGCACTTTGAGCCTATTAAGGACACTCCGTGACATTCACTTACATGGTGCAAACATTGCCTTCTGATTGTCCAGGTTTAGCCCCTCCGCCACATGAGGGAGACCCAGAGAGGGGCCGCGCTTCACGGCAGCAGGAACATCATCAGCGTGACTGCGCTGCCAAGAAATAGCTCCTGGTTCCAGCCACAGAGTCCTCCCATCTCAGCCCCAGTGGGGAGAGAAGAGAAGTTGAGCTGAGCTTGTGTCCTGCAAATGAAGTACATTCATTCATTACAGGAACTTGGACCTTGAGAAGAGAGAAGGACCTTCTTGCAAAAGGCAGATGACAAAACCATTTCATTAAGTAGAAATGACTGATTTTTAAAGGACTTGGTTACAAATTCATCTTACAATTTCTTTTAACAAAGATGTATAGGATGCCCGCTATAACTCCAGCATTGTGTTAGCCACTAGACCAAGGGGGCTAAGGCATATTAAACATGAAGCTCAGAGAACAAGGGTAGAAGACAGAGACACATAAATAACTCAAACTGTTCAGCCCCATGCCTAGCCCCTTGTAAGTATTCAGAAACAGTAGTAGCTATGATGATGATGATGGTAGCAGAGAGGTAAGGGCAACCTTAGAGGTACAAATGAGGTTTTCTGGCAGCATAGAAAATGAGTGATTACCCTAGCCAGCGTGGCTCAGTAGTTGGAGTGCTGGCCTGCATCCTGGGTTTGATTCAAGGGTGCATACCTGGATTGCAGGTTTGATCCCCATCCCCACTTGGGGTATGTGTGGGAGGCAACCAGTGGATGTGTCTCTCTGACATCAATGTTTCTCTCTCTTTCTCTCCCTCTTCTCCCTCCCTTCCACTCTCTGGAAAAAAAATATATATATCCTCACTCCTTGAGGGAGGATTTTATTTTATTTTATTTTTTAATATATTTTATTGATTTTCCACAGAGAGGAAGGGAGAGAGATAGAGAGTTAGAAACATCGATGAGAGAGAAACATCAACCAGCTGCCTCCTGCACATCCCCTACTGGGGATGTGCCCGCAACCCAGGCACATGCCCTCGACCGGAATCGAACCTGGGACCCTTCAGTCCGCAGGCCGACGCTCTAGCCACTGAGCCAAGCCGGTTTCGGCAAGGGAGGATTTTAAAAAATCAATTAATGTTATCCATTACATCAACAGCATAAAAACAAAAAATCACATGGTCAGATCAATGGATGTAGAAAAAGCATTTGACAAAATCCAAGACCCATTCATGATTTAAAAAGAAAAAAAAAGAAAGAAAATGAGTGACGAGCTTGTCCAAGTTGTCAGGGAAGGGCCCGTAGAATGAAGGTTGCTCAAGCTTGGAGGCAGAGAAAGAGACAAGATGCAGAGGGCCAGGAGAAGGTCTGGGCAGGCGGCAAAGGGCTCCTGAGGATGCCTGGGCATTCAGGGAGTCTTTGGGGGTTTGCGGGGATGGGCTGAGGGCCCAGAATCTTGGCCCAAGGGCCAGGCAGTTCACATTGGAGCTTGCACCAGTGTTACTGCTGTGAGCGGACTTGAAGAAAGGCTTCGTTGTTTGTTTGGTTTTCTCCCTCCCAGGAAGGGGCTCCTTCCCCTTTCAACTCCGCATATTTGAAATGAGTATCAGAGAAAAGGACAACTGATTACAAAGAAAAATTCTTCCGCAGCCATCTGTACCATGCCAGCCATAAATCCTACCAGCCCTTGGACTTCTCGTAATGGAAAACCACAGAATGGTTTCAAATGGCATTTCATTGGATCCCAGGGGCTTTCCAGAACTAGCTGTGCTTTGTTTCCCCTAAATGGAAAGGATGGGGGTTAAAGATTGGATATTGAGTGTGTGCTGCTTCGTATTCCCATTCCATGGGTAGCTTTTTCCTTCCTGGGGTTCCGGGGTGGACCCTCCCTCAGGTTCTCAGACTCTGGAATATGCCTGTAACACTTCCTTCCATCTGGATCTAAACCAGAGAGCAGCTTTCCCACGTGCACATGCTCCTTCTTGTGAGATAAGGAAGTGGTTTCTATTTTTAGGATCAACTCCACCCAGCTCCTTAGGTGGCCTGGAGGTCTCTGGGGCCTATTTTGATGCTGTGAGCAGCACAGCCATCCTCCTGGAAACTGCTTTATAAGAGGATGGGCGGGAGGAGGGGCGGGAGGAAGGGCAGACCTCCCCCTCTCCCCTCTCCTTCTGCTCCGTAAGCTCCCTGCCTCTTCCACTTCCTACACTCGCAAAACACATGCAGCCTGGTGTGCACTCACCCTGAGAAGCAGTCAAGTGACGTCAGATGATGTATACGCTGTGCAGCTAGAGGGCTGTCAGGCAGAGCAGGCCACGGGCCGTCCAGCCACTCCAGCACGCAGACCCAGAGCACGGTGCCTGCCTTGTGCTCTGTAAGGAGGGTGCGGAGGGCGCTGGTGGCCAGGCAACTCTGAACGCACAGAGAGAGCTCCCTGGACTGCGAGCCCGCAAGGGCCACAGCAGGCTTGCCCTGGCTGCTGCTCATCCATCACGCCACGACGGGGAGGGGTTATTGGAGTGGGAAAGAGCTAGACAACTGCAAGGCAGGACCACTGTGGGGAGACCGAGGTTCTCAGCAGGAACCCACAGTAGGAGACCTACTAGGCAGAACCTGCTCGTCAGAACCCAGGGAGAAGCCCTGTGCACACTGGCGAGGTCCTTTGTCACAACCTCAGTCAACACGGAGACCACCGGGGTGACGGGCAGTTTGGTGCGGGGTCCACTCATGTTGTCCAGTAAGAGCTGATTGCTAAACTTCAGGTATTTTAAGAGCCGGTTGTTAGGCAAAGCCATCATTAAAAATTAAATTATACCCAAGTAAATAAATTACATAATAGCCGAAACCGGTTTGGCTCAGTGGATAGAGCGTCCACCTGCAGACTGAAGGGTCCCAGGTTCGATTCCGGTCAAGGGCATGTACCTGGGTTGTGGGCACATCCCCAGTAGGAGATGTGCAGGAGGCAGCTGATTGATGTTTCTAACTCTCTATCTCTCTCCCTTCCTCTCTGTAAAAAATCAATAAAATATATTTTAAAAAATAATAATAATAATTAATAAATTGCATAGTAAAGTCCAATATTCAAAACTCATCGTGCCGTAATGAATTTGTTACACTTCACTCTCACTCTGCTCTTGATGTCATTAGCACTCACTGGGTCTGCACAAGGGAAGCCCACGTCACGGTGTGCTCCTGCGTGCCTCCCCAGCTCTGCCCCCGGTGACATCATGGAAGCCCGAAATCAGCCACGGTGGGGTATTTACACCTCAAACATGGCCAAGGCTACAAGTAAGGGTGTTGTTCCTGCACAGCGATTGTTAACGGCTTGCCAGCCAGCACACTCCTGTCCGGGGCCTGGCAAGTGTTGTGTCTGTCCCCTGCAGGCACTGTTAACCTTGTGGGCAGTGCCATGGCTCATTCTGTGTCTCAACACCCCTCTGCTGTAGTGTGGCGTCTGGACTAGTCGGAGGGGGTGCAAAGGGCAAGGAAGTCAGCTAGCAGTCGATGGCACAAGTCAGAGCATACACAGGCAGGCCCTGGGGTGGCCACAGCCATGGGGATAGAAAGAAGGAAGCAGGTGAGGAGAGCAGGCCGGGGAGGTGGAAACAGTGGGGCTGAGGATGCCTGGGCAGAGTTGAGAGGAAACGAGGAGCAAGAGTTGGCTCTGAGATGTGAAGCCTGTGTGATTGGTAGATCCGGTGTCACCTGCCAAGTTAGAAGGCGCAGAAGGAGGCTTAACGGATGCCCAGGAGTGAGAAAGAGGAGTCCCTCTGAGCTGTTTCACAGCAGAAGGAGCTGGTGGGGCCCAGGCCCCTGGATCCAGTGTTTGGCTCAGTGGAGGTTAGAGGACAGAGGTTTGTGCCGTTAGCAAGCAGGCCTTCCCCCTGTTCAAGTTTCCCCTTGTTTCACCATCTCCGGTGTCAGAGCCGGGAGGGCTTGGAACCCCCAACCCCTCTCACCTCATTGTCCAGGTCACAGCCTGGGGGTTATGGGAGGCAGGCAGACTCCACACCTGTGCCTGTCGCTCCGGGCCCAACCCCGCAACCCCGATACCTAGTAAACGGGTGGAGACGGGGCTGTTAGGAGCAGCACGTGCCCCTCAGCAGGGGCACCTGATTTGCCTGACACTGACAGGGGAGTCTGCTGAAGACAGGTGAGGGTGCAGGTGGCCCCGGGAGCTCTGGGAGGGTGGGAGGGGAAGCACTAAGGGTGGACGCATCAGCTGCAAGGGCGGCTGCGGCTGACCCTGGAGTCAGCTTTCACCTCCTTCTCACAGGGGCCTCGGCCACCCTGAGAGGGGCCGCTCGACCTTCCCACTCTGGCCCAGGATAGAGAGGCAGAACAGCCTGGGTGCACCGGGGATGAGGAAGACAAGAGGGCACACCTGGCCAGGCACTGGGGTGTGCAGGGCAGGGTAAGCCTGGAGGCCAGAAAGAGTCCCCACCAAGAAAATCGTGACTTTCACGGGGAGGCCTCACAGCCATCAAAGGGGCTCCCATTGCCCAGAGCACAGCTGTTCTGAGGCTATTTTTCTGGTTTGAAGCATGAAGGTCACCTCTCGGCCACCTGGGCAGCCTGGGTGCTGGAGGACACAGGGAGCCTGAGCCTGGAGGAAAAGGCCCGTGTTCTGCGTCTGTGCAGGAAAGTGACCAAGGCAAGGCTACTGTAGGGGTGGCTACCACCACTCCTGCTGCGTGCAGCCACACAGGCTGAGCTGTGCATGTGGGAATGCCAGGAGGGCATCACCAGAACACCTGGAGGCTGCCAACCACAGAGCATCACTAGGGAAACAGCCAAGAAAGGGGCCTCAGGAAAGGGCACATAGAAGAGAGCACACGCCCTGATGCCTGCGGGCGATTAACAGAGGACAATGTCGCAGGGAGAGTTTCGGGAGGAAGGAGCAGTTAACAGTTTCAAGTGCTACGAAGCCCAAGAGATGGAGCGGAGTGACTGAGTGAGCGCAGAGGTTAGGCTGCTGGGTGTGGCACTCAGCTGCCAGGCCAGCATGATCACCTCGGCGTGGGCACAGGTGGAACCACATGTTAGTAAATAGACAAGTGCACAGAAAGTAAAGAAATAAAGGGAGGAGTGGACAACGAGACCGTTTTCAAAAGCCTGAGGTGGGAAGGGAGGAGAGACCACGTGTGGTTTGCAGGGGAAGCGGGGTCCTGCAGGGAGGGACTTCACCCGGGACTATGGTGAGCACAGGGGAGAGGTGCAGGGGACAGTCGGAAGACATCGGTCCCAGGTCCCAGGGGACAGGCAAGAAAGCCGCATGAGGACAACCCCGCTGCCCCCACCGGAAGGAAAGGACAGGCAAGGACCGGGTGCAGGTAAGAGGAGCACATGGGGTTTACATGGCACAGGTCTGAGGTCTCCGTTTTATTCCGCAGACACTGAGACGAGGGGTGAGGGGACGGGGACAGCTGAAGAGCTCAAAGTCTTAGAGCGGCTCCACGGATTGGTTTCCAGGGCCCAGTATTCGCTTTGAGTGATGCCCATGAGCTTCCTACTATTTTGTGCAAGTTTCCTGACTGCCAGCAGGTGAAGATTGGCACATACCCACACTTCCGCTTTCCCTGACTTCTCAAGCTCCAGAGCCATCCTGGCATCTGGAATCTGTGTGCTACGACCAATGGTGCACCATGTGTGGCCAGGCCCGTGGCAGCAAGTATTGGTGAAGCACCCATTCACAGCTTCACACCAACACTCCAGGCCAGGCCAGGGGAGAGAGGCAGCCGGAACCGGCCTGCACTCCATGGGCCACCACCCGGAGAAGACAGGGGAGTGCTCCCCCACATCACCACTGGCTCCTCCGATCCCAGAGCTGTGAGGAAAGCAACTCCCAGTTCTACCTAAAGTGCCCCCACCCCGCCCCCAAATGCTATGCGCCAGGGCCACAGGGGCGGTCTCCTGTCACTGGGCAGCTTTATGATGGACACACCTGAAAACTAGAGCGCGCGGCAGAGTGGCGGGGCTGAGGCTGCTGGACCCGACGTCCCCTCATTCCTGTTTTGTGTGAGTCTCCTCTAGTTGTTAGACTCTGCGCCCTCCTCTGTAAATGTGAACACTAGGAGGAACAGGGCGTAGATATCGCACTTGCACAGCACCTGCAATGCAGTCAATGTTGAGCAAACACTGGTTATTATGACTGTCACTGACATCATCACTAGTTCTCACAGCCCTGGAAACAGGGCATTTTATTACCAAGTGGCTTGGGTTCCTATAGGTTGACTGAGTGAACCTGCCTTCCTGTGGCTACAGCACTCAGACACTCTGGTTGGTGTACCGTGAAATGAAGCCGCACAGAAAAGAGCTCTGGGGGAGCCCTGTTCTCCATGAGGTCAGGCCCGGCTGTGCCCCAGTTCGTGTGCTGTTGGCTCGGTGAGTGGATCCTATGGCAACTAAAGCTACCTAGGTTGGCCACAGAGAAGTCGGTTTCCTTTGTTCACTTGTAACATCAGCTCCCATTTCCTGGCATCTGCCCTAGGCAGGCACCTTTGACGCAGGCACCTTTGACGCAGGACTTCGGACCCAGGAAGACACCCTGTACACCATTTTACAAGAGGAGACTAGGTTGGAGGGGGGATAAGGAATGTCTCAAGCCACACATGTTACCTGCAAAGTGAGCCTGCCCCTCCCTCATCTCCCCACAGCGCTTCTCTGCCCTGGCCCGGCACCTCGGGGACCATGGGCAGGGAACAGAAGAGGAGCCAGGCCAGGGAGGAAGCCCCGGCCCCAGCCTTCCTCTCCCAGGTGCTGTCCCTGGCCCTTCCCGGAGCACTTGCCTGGATTCTTTCAAGAATCACAGCCATCTGGAATCTAGAACCCAGGTCCGAGCCACCCGATCAGTGCTGGAGCCCTGCCCACAGTCCCCCACCCTCCATGTTCATAGGCCTCCCGGGAGTCATGGCCGCCCACAACAGCCCGTCCTACCAGTGGGGAACGGTTGTGAGGACACCTTCCCCTGCTTAGAGCTAAGTTTCCCCCATAACTTCTGCTCGCTCGTGCAAGTTTGGGCTCCTTAGGACACAATGGGACTTGAAATGCACTTGCTCCGTGTAGCACCCACATCGCCCACGTGCAGAGCTCCCCATGCTGCTGTGATCTTAGACTCCCTCTGGGCACTCGGAGTGTTTTCCACTCTGTGAAGGTTTCACACAGCCACCACAGCTCTCTCTCCTTCCCCCGTTCTACCCCTTTTCAGCCCCGCACCAGCTCCCTGTGCGTCCACGGGTTCCTCTAGGACCGTGGTCGGCAAACCGTGGCTCGTGAGCCACATGCGGCTCTTTGGCCCCTTGAGTGTGCCTCTTCCACAAAATACCACGTGCAGGCGCGCACGTAAAGTGCGATTGAAACTTCGTGGCCCATGTGCAGAAGTTGGTATTTTGTGGAAGAGCCAGTATTTTGTGGAGGAGCCACACTCAAGGGGCCAAAGAACCGCATGTGGCTCGGGAGCCGCGGTTTGCCGACCACTGTCTAGGAAATGCTAGAGAGGTTCTCTTCTTCCCCGGGCCCAGCAGCCGCCGCAGGTCAGACGTGGGTAGTGGGCGCGTCACCACCTCCTCCGTCAGCCTCCATTGCAGGGCGTCTGGCCCTTGGCTCCTGGCAACCTTCCCTCCGATTCTGAGGTCAAAGCAACTCGTCCGCCCAGCCAGGTGCCTCCTCTCCCCGCAGAGCTCACAGAAGGCTGACTGGGGGAGGAGGGGTCACGACCTCGGTCAGTCTGCAGTTTCTTCAAGATGGGCCCTCTCTGAGATTTTACTTTTGCAATACGCCCTCCTCTCCTTCCACCACCAGCCCCACACCCCCTCTTCCTTCCACTTAGGGGCAGCCCTTGTGAGGCAGGGGCACCCTCAGGCTGGAAGAGCACCCAAACCCCCAGCCTCTAGTCCTCCACCTGGGCCCAGCGCGCAGAAAAGAGCTTCACGAGGAAAGGGCTGTGGGGAGAACTCGGCTCAGGCACCACCCACTGTGTCAGGAGAGATGCTTCCCGCTGCGATGAAGCCTAAGGAAGGGCTCTTAACAACACAGAACGGGAAGTCCAGCTAAGTGTCTCTTGCCATCCACCAGGCAGGCTCCAGGCGTCGCTCAGGCCTTTGCCTCAGCCCCTGGCCTCCCATCACGAGCCAGCTCCCCTCCAGCACAGGTGGACCCAAAAGGAGGAACAAAGCCTGTCTTGGGCCTGATTAAAACTGAGTTTCACTTTCCCAGGAGCCAGCAGCACATGCTGCTCCCAGACTCTTTGGCAGAACTAGGTCATTGTCTCATTCCTAAACCAAAGCCACTGGGAAGGTGAGGCCAGACCCGCCTCCCAAAGCCTAGAGGGGCTCCCTGTCTCCGGGGCCAAAGGCGTCAGAAACAACAGCTTTGTTCCCGAGGATGAAGGAGGGATGCTGCAGGCAGCCAGCGAGAAAGGGCCTCCTGCCCTCTGTGCGGTGCAGGGCGTACCACAGGGACCCGGGTAGCAATGTTTGGGGGAGGGGGTTCAGGTGTCGAGATCTGTGTCTGCTGTTAAACACATTCAGCTAACCCAAGAAATAAATAGTTATGTCAAATCATACATTTTGAAACTTGGTCTTAAAGGTCACATGAGCCCTGGCCGGTTGGTTGGAGCATCATCCCATGTACCAAAGGGTGGTGGGTTTGATTCCCCGTCGGGGCATATACCTAGGTTATGGGTTCGATCCCCAGTTGGGGCGCTTGTGGGAGGCATCCGATCGATGTTTTGTTTTGGTTTTTTTTCCTCTCTCTCTCCTCCCTTCCTTTCTAAAACAATCAATATAAACTTTTTTTAAGGGGGTAAAGATTTCAGAAAAAGCCTGGGAGAAAAGCTAACACTTGGCATCATTCAATCTCTTACATAATTTAGTAAATTAAGAATTAGTGAAAGCCCACAATGGCCAAATTTTAGAAGCCAGGCTTCTTGGCGCAGCCCTCTGGGCATACTTTAAGAACCACCAATCCAGTCAAACACTCTCACTTATTTTCTGCAAGTTTCTGAGGCTCACAAATACCTTTGTGTTTCTCCAAGGTCACCAGTTAATTATTGTCATAGCAACTCCCCTCCCGAAGAATCATAGTGATTTCCCACATCACATGTCCAGAGCGCGTCGGGAATAAAGGAAGGTCCCATGTGACGTGGGTCTGAGCTTAGTGTTCCTGGCCAGAGTCCAAACCTGCCCCAGACTCGAAAGCTTTCTAATCCCCGCTATTCCAAAATGTGGGAGCTGAGAACTCCTCTCAGAGGGTGTTTCTGCTGTTGATTTAGAGACACATCTCTCTCTCACCTGCACACTGCCACCTCCAGACACCACTCCCCAGACCCCACGGCCTGAGGTCCAGGTGGGCCTGTCTCTGAGCTGCCCAGGACAGAAGAGGCCAGGCTGGCTCCTTAGCTGGCTCCCTCCTCCCAGCCAGAAGCAGCTGATTGCCAGCTCCAGGCTGCCTGCCTCCAGCCCAGCCCTAATCGGCCTGATCTCAGGCTGCCACTGGGGCCATGGCAGCTGCTGAAAGCAGTGGGGACATTTTTCCAAGGTAATGATTAAGCCGAGTGCCTGGCAAAGGCACAGGCAGCCGGCAGGAAGGTGAGTCCATTCACACCTCGACCGGGCTGCAGTGGCTGGGACTGGTTTGGGACAGCAGGGCCCCAGGGCACGAGGGCCCCAAGCTGGCAGCCACAGCCTCCCTGGACACGGGACGTCTGAGAGCATCTCGGGCCAGAGCCGCTGCTGCCCGCCCTGCTGGGCCGCTGCCCTTGCCCCGGCACCATGAAGCTGCAGGTGTTCTGGACGGGGCTGGAATACACCTGCCGGCTCCTGGGCATCACCACCGCTGCAGGTAGGACCCCACCTCCCTGCTGTAGTCCTCTGCGTGCTGGGCAGAGCAGATGGGCTGGCCCAACAGTGGAAGCCAGCTGGCTGGGGTTGGACAGACGCATCTGACCACACTTTCTTCCCCAAGACCCCCAGGAACAGTGCTCTGCGGGGCACAGCGGGTGTAGGGGGTCAGCTGGGGACTGGGAACCAAAGGGCCTTGGGAGCCCTCAGCCTCCTCATCTTGGAAATGAGTGGAGGGTCGGCCCCACCTCCCGTGGGGCTGCTGCGAGGGGGCGACGGCTGAAGGTGAAGGTATAAAAGTCTGATGCCTCGCTGTAGAGTTAGCAGAGCACATCTGGCTTTATTCACACCACAGGCCCCTGTCGTGGAGAGAGGATTCCCAGCTGAGCTGGAGGGCTGGTCACGGAGACCTCGGGCTTCCCTGATGCTCTGCAGGGCTGTGGGGACGTGGTTCCTGGGCTGGCTCCTCTCCCACACCCACCCAATCCTAAAGCTGCTCAACTTGCGTGAGGACAGACAGAGCAGGACCAGTGGGACCACGGCCCTGAGTGCTGCCTTCTCGCTTCCCTAGGGCAAACCCTGCCCTAGCCCAGGCCCCCCACAGGGCCAGGATCTGTGTCAGGGAAGTGAGCAGCAGTGTTCTGAGCTCTGAGCACTGGGCCTCACTGTCCCTGGGGACAAGGAGGAGACGCCCACAGCTCAGCGAGTCCTCCTCCATCACTGGACCAAATCCTGTGCATGGATCTCGGTGGATGGGAAATGTCCCCCAGCTCAGACTCAAACGGTGCTGCTTCCAGCCTCGGCCTGCCACCTGCCACCTGCCACCGGTGACCTGGGAGAGCCATCGGGGCCCTCTGGGACCGAGCTTTCTGGTCTGTGCAATGGAGGTAACCGGCCCTGCTGGCCAGGTTTTTGAAGGATCAACGATGCATGAACTGATCAGAGATAGCTGGACTGGGGATAAAGCCTCTTGGGAAAAGCCATGACACACTTCAGCGCTCAGGGGACCCAGGTCACTCCCAGGCGCCGGGCCACGCTCACTGGTGGTCTGGCCAGTGGGGTCTGCAGCATGGAGGCCCTGAGTTAGCATAGAACCCGCCATTTGAGATGACCTAACCCCACAACTCCTGACATAAGATGAGCTCAAATAGGGGCATGACCCTACCCAAGGTCACATTGCAGGTCAGAGGGACAGCCGGCCTGGAGCCCTGGTCCCTCGACTTTCAAAAAGGCTAGGACTCTGCCTTACAGGGTAGGAAGCCCACCCTGCAGACACCAGGAAGGTCTAGACCTGCTCTGCTGAGACCCAAGGAGATGAGCTGGCAGGGAACCAGCTCCAGACACTGTCAGGGCCACCTGTCCCCTGCACTCTGGGAATGACTGCCCAGACCCCCAACTGCCCACCCAGGGAGGGGCAGGGAACCCTACTTAGGTTCCCATGTCTGGGTTCAAGGTCTGTTCTACAGCTTGATCTGGACTCCGCCCTGCCTCCTCTAAGCCCCGGTTCCCTGAAGCGGAAGCACAGTCCTTCCCACTCGCAGATGTCTCAGGGACGGTCCCCGCCACACCTGCCCAGAGCCCGGCCCACCTCTTTCTAGAATCTGTTTTGACCTGTATCTACCCTAATGGATTAGCTAGAGACGTTTAAATCCACTTTATCTCCGCCAGAGGAAGGGTCTGCAGCCATCGCATCCACCACTGCTCCTCTGGCCACATCCCTTCCTCTGCACAGAGGGCGCTGCTAATGCTGAGGGCAGGCCTCCGCTTGGCTTTGAAAAGGATCCAGGCTGAAAGTAGGCCACAGATTGCCTTTTACTGGCCAGGCTTTTCGGTCGTTTTATTGGGGCTTTCTAAAGTGCAGGAGACGGGGAAGCTAGAGAGAGGACTTCGTGCTCTTGGGCGTACCTCCCGTTTCCTGGCAATATCAGGGAACTCCTGGCCTGTTTCCAGTGTATTAGGTTTGCACATTCTTTATTCCCTTCGGCCTCCTTTTTGGGGAAATTCCCGTTGAGAAGCCCAGGCCGCGTGTACAGGGGCATCGCTGCTGGAGAGGAAATAAGGCTTGAGAAAGAGGCGCTCAGTCTGCAGAAACTTCGGGAGACCCTGGCCCCACTGTGGGGAGGAGTGTGGTTCCCCAGAAGCTGGGAAAAGCATGTGACCCAAGGCCCCCCAATCAGTCACCTGCAGGGACCAGGCAGCACTACCAACTGGCCTGGCCCCTGGGCCTCCTTCCCTCTGCAGACAGGACCCGTGACTGTCAGAGGCTCCGAAGGCACAGGCCCCGAGATCTCCCCTGATGGCACGGCCCAGCAGCTTGGCCACCGCGTGCCTGCACAGCTGCCCAGGGGCTGGCCGAGCTCACCTCTCCCTCTCCACCCAGGCCCCTGTGGATGAAGCTTCGTTAGCACTCCCAGTGGTCCCCAGGCCACACTGCCCCACCCCATGGCCAGTCCCATAGCACCAAATAGGAGGAGACAGGCCGTGGGCAGACTGTGCCCAGCCAGACGTGTTTCGAAAACCAGAAAATTCTCTTCCTTTGAATCAATCATAAGGTTTCCAGGTCAGCAAAAACCCACGCCTCCCCACTAGTCTCACACTTAGCTGGCTGCACACATTTGCGTGACCTCCTTGGCAGGGAAGGCGGGGAGTGTGTCTGTGTGTGTTTGTGCGTGCGCGTCCGTGTGTGACCTCTCGGTGCCTGTTATGGAGATGTGGCCTCAGCAGCCACCAGAGAAGCACACCAATGGGACCTGCACACAGACTGGGAGCCCTCGCACTCCCTGCGCAGGTGCCCACATCTGCCTGCGGCCCCAGAGCTGCCCCGCTAGGTGTGCCTGGGAGAAGAGCTCCAGGGGCCTTACCTTGTGTAGTTCTCACTGCAGACCAACCGTCAGGAGGGGCCCGGGAGAGGGGTTGTAACTGAGGTGGGGGCACCGCAGCCCAGGGCGTTCCTCCCCCACAAAGTGGGCGTGGGCTAGGCCCCATTCCTGCTCTGGGGAGGAGGGATTGGTTTCCCTGTGAACCATGCAGTCCTTCTCCACCCTTCCCCGCCCCACCCCACCTCTGAGGGTGACTCCCATGAATTTCCTCACCGCTCCTGAGCCCTGCCCCAGCCCTGCCAGAAATGGGATGGGAAGAGTTCCCCGTGCCAGGTTGATGTTGCACCTTGAGGGTCCTAGACTTGAGTGGAGTATGGAGGAAAGAGGGGAGGCTAATTTCCCTAGGCCCTGACCACTGGGAAAGTCTCCCCAAAAGAGGAGCTGCCAAGAAAATGTGTTTGGTGAGGCCGCCTAACACTCCTCAGAGCAAAGGGCTTGAGCCTGAGGCTCCTCGCTGCCAAGACTCAAGGGCAGTTTTTCCTCTTCCAGCCTCGGCTCTGGGAGTCAGAGCTGGCAATGGACATTACTATGTGGGTATTCACTGTGAGCCGGACTCTGCTGCATGATTTAAACGTAATGTCTCGTTTTATCCTCATAATTACCCTTTGGAGGACCATGACGCTCATCCTCATCCTCATTCTGTGCAGGGGAAACTGAGGCCTAGTGCAAGAAAGCATTTGCTCTGGCCCTCACAACCAGAAAGCAGGGAGGCAAGATGTGAATGGGTGGTGGTCCACTCCGAGGCCCCACTCTTGATCAGCGTGCCCTCCACCTAAGTCAGTGGTTCTCCACCTTCCTAATGCTGTGACCCTTTAATACAGTTCCTCATGTTATGGTGACCCCTCCCCCAACCATAAAATTATTTTCGTTGCTACTTCATAACTGTAATTTTGCTACTGTAAACAATATGTAATTATATATGTGTTTTCCGATGGTCTTAGGCGACCCCTGTGAAATGGTCATTCGACCCCCAAAGGGGTCGCGACCCACAGGTTGAGAGCCGCTGGCCTAAGTCTTTCCATATCTTGGGTATCCCAGGATGCAGGATGCAAAACACACAGAGGGTACCAGTGAGGCCTGACTAAAGCCACCCATCATCTACCCTAGATCCCAACCCCCCGTCAGCCCTGTCAGGCAGGTGGATCGTGGCGAGGGTGGACAGTGACAGTGACGTATAGTCAAGAACGACCAACACTTCCGAAACATAAAGACACTGATGTTTGACACGCCGCTCATGCTCTCTGGATGGTTACGTGCTTTGAGCACTCTCAGACCCTCTCCTGGACCTCACCCAAATCTGCGCAGGTTTCCAGAGACAACTGTCACAGCAGGCCCAGAGCTGCAGGACCACAGCGTGCTAAAAGTCATCGTCCTGATGAAGCCCCACCTGCGTCCGTGACGGCCAACCTGGGATCGCTCAGGGGTTTGTTTATTCTAGGGTTTGACCCATTAACCTCTCCTCCACACCAAGGACAGAGCCAGATTTTCAGCAGCGCCCTCCTGCCACACTCCATTTGAAATGGTGACTTATTAATGTAGACTAGGGCGACAGCAGCACTTAAACCCAGATGTTCTCATTATTTTTTAAAGGGCACAGCAAATGCATAGTTTGACCTCAGCCCTTTTCAAAGCCTTCAGAAACAAACTAATGCTTCTGAGGCAACCATCCCGGGCTCTCCATGCTAATTTCCACCCTTCTGAAATGTTATCCCCGCGACCACTTCCTGCCACAGGAGGAAGCTTCCTGCACCCAGCACGCCCACAGGTGGGTTTATTAGCCATGTTGTTTTCAGATCCTCCACGCGGATGTTGGCTGGTTCTTTTCAATCTGATTGTTTCAACAAGTAAATGAAATTTCCCTACCTCTGCTCCACCTGAAAGATAATGCGATTTGGCTTAAGCATTTCTTTCTTTGTCTTAGATTTAGAACAAGAAACCGAGAACTCCACTTAAGATTCATTTATTCAGCAAACATTTGCAGAATTCCCACCGTGTGCCATGTAGACACACATATTAGAATGGCACGACCTCCCTCCCAAGAAGCATGTGGTGACCAAGGAGACAAGCTAGAAAACGCATGCCCTGGCACTGAGCACTGCAGCCCCTGGTTTGGGAGGATGAAGCATGTCCTTCTCTACCCCTGACTAGGTGTGTGCCTTCAGGCATGTTACCTAGCACATTAATGGCGATGGAAGGAGACTGGAACACATGATACAACATGCAGATGGTGTATTATAGAATTGTACACCTGAAACCTGTATAACTGTTATTAACCAATGTCACCCCAAAAAATTCAACTTAAAAAATCAGTTTTCTCATCTCTGAAATGGGGATAACAAGTGCATCTACCCTTTGGGGTTGTGAGCATTCAGTGTAACAATGACTAAGCCAGGGAAAGGCCTGGCACACAGGTTCTCACGCAGTGCTGGTTAACAGTGCTGGTTTGTTTTAGAGGCATTTGCAGGACACCGGGGCTGTGCAGCATGAGTGACCGGCTCTTCCTGCAGTATGGGAAAAAAGGGAGATCAGAGGAAAAGAACAGGCAACATATGACCCTTGAAGCTGGAGAGGGAGAACGGGGCTAGACTGTGAGAGATCTTACGCTGAGTAACATTTTCCTTCACATTTTGAGCTTGGGTTATTAAGATCAGTCGCTCAAGAACTTGGTTATTTCATAGATAGATAGATAGATAGATAGATAGATAGATAGATAGATATCCTATATAATAAAAGCCTAATATGCAAACAGCTGAACAACCAGCAGAATGACTGGTCGCTATGATGCACACTGACCACCAGGGGGCAGTCGCTCAATGCAGAAGCTTCCCCCAGCCCACAGTCTCCAGGCCAGCCACAGTGGGTGCAAGTGGTGGCCCCCCGATTGCCCCCCTGATCACCTGCAGAGGGAGGCAACCAGTGACTGTGGCAGGGGGCATGGCCATCAAGTGAGTGGCGCCTGGCCTGCCAAGGCAGGTGCCAGCAGGGGCACCCCAATCACCCCACCAGTTGTCCCACAGATTGGCTCTGATCACTGGCCAGGCCTAGGGACCCTATCTGTGCACGAATTTCGGGCCTCTAGTGTGTGTTTGTATATATATATATATATATATATATATATATATATAGAGAGAGAGAGAGAGAGAGAGAGAGAGAGAGAGAGAGAGAGAGAGAGAGAGGAAGATAGAAAAACATCGATGTGAGAGCTCAACATCAATCAGCTGCCTCCTGCAGGCCCCCCACTGGGGAGGGAGCCTGCAATCTGATATGTGCTCCAACTGAGTGTCAAACCAGCAACCTCTTGGTGCATGGGAGGATGCCTAACCAACTGAACCACACCGGCCAGGGCTTGGTCATTTTTTATTAATATTAAATTTATTGGGGCAACATTGGTTAGCTTTCAAGTGCACAATTCTATGATACAGCACCTGTATCACTATGTGCCCACCATCCAAAGTTAAGTTCCCATCACTATACACTAGATCCCCTCATAGTGATCCAACCAGAAGGAAGAGGGTAGCCTTGTGTTATCTTTCATAGGATGGCAGTTCTTTTAAGCTTGTCCTTAGTCTATGCAACCATCCGAACAGGGGTTATTATCGGAAAGAAATGTCGTCATACGTAAGAGGCTGATGCTGGGAAGAGGGAGCTCTCTTGAGGATTCCCCCTGAGCCTTCCTAGCCTCCCCTGGGTCAGGTAAAGGTCAGTAAAGAAACATGGCACGTGTGGCATGGGCAGAAAACACCCGGAGGCATCACCGTTGTCTTCTGGCACCAGGGATGCTGCCATTGGAGAATGATCAGATGTGTTCTCTTTAAGTGCAAGACAGAAAAAGAATCAAATATCTTGGACAAATACCTGACCTGAAGTCAAGACCTAGAAGAAATTTCCCCCCATGGGTTCTTACACGGGAGATGACACTTTGTGCTGGAAGGCCAATCCTCAATACTATCGTAAATCCTGCAGGTCTGCAGAGTTCTCCGTGTGAACAGCGTCATCACCAGAACCTGGTGTATCAGCGTAGGTGGCCTCACAGGCGAGTTCTACGGCATTCAAGGAAGAAATAGTCACTATTCTACACAACCCTTCCAGAAACTTGGAAAGATGGGAATACATCTCAACTCACGTTATGAAACCAGCATGACTCCAATGCTAGACGAAGACGTGGCGAGAAAGCCACAGGTTAACATCCCCCAGCAACACTGAGGGAAAAATTCTTAACCAAGTTTTAGCAAAGCAAATAAAAACATGTAAAAATGATAGCATCAAACCATGAAATACTATAGGATAAATCTGACAAAAATTTATACATTGGAAACTAAAAAATATTTTTAAAAGACCTAAGTATATAAGAGATAAGAGATATATTTTGTTCATGGGTGGGAAGACTCAGTATCATGAAGATGCCAGTTCTCCCTAAAATTGTTCTATAGATTACCAGGTGTACCGGTTAATAATGCAGATTTTTTTCAGTAGATGGAAATATATATATATATATATATATATATATATATATACACACACATATATATATATGCAATTTGACATGTATGCTATTTTGTTGTATTGACAGAAAGCTTCCAAACTTCATACATCAAATTTCCTGAAGGTGTTAACATCATAGATATTTTTACACTTTAAAAATGTCGAATTTTGCCGAAACCGGTTTGGCTCAGTGGATAGAGCGTCGGCCTGCGGACTGAAAGGTCCCAGGTTCGATTCCGGTCAAGGGCATGTACCTGGGTTGCGGGCACATCCCCAGTGGGGGATGTGCAGGAGGCGGCTGGTCGATGTTTCTCTCTCATCGATGTTTCTGTCTCTCTCCCTTCCTCTCTGTAAAAAATCAATAAAATATATATATAAAAAAAAAAATGTCGAATTTCATGCCAAAAAAAAAAGAGCATTTGCGGGAAGTTTTAATTCATTACTTTATTTTGAAGAAAAGTGCTGCTGAAAGTTATCATATATTTCAGAAAGTTTATGGTGAACATGCTCCATCTCAAGATACTTGTGAACGCTGGTTTAAATGCTTTAAAAGTGATGATTTCGATGTGAAAGACAAAGAATGTCCAGGTCGACCGAAAAAGTTTGAAGACCAACAATTACAAGTATTATTGGATGAAGATGTGTGTCACACTCAAAAACAACTTGCAGAAAGATTAAACGTTGCTCAGCAAACAATTTCTGATCATTTTCAAGCAATGGGAAAGATTTTAAAGGAAGGAAAATGGGTGCCACATCAACTGAACGAAAGACAAATGGAAAACCGAAAAGTCATCAGTAAAATGTTGGTTCACTGGCACGAAAGAAGGTCTTTTTTGCATCTAATTGTGACTGGCGATGAAAAGAGGATTTATTTTGAGAATCCTAAATTCACAAAATCATGGGTTGATCCAGGTCAACTATCAATATCAACTGCAAGGCCAAATCGCTTCAGAAAGAAGACAATGCTCTGCGTTTGGTGAGATCAGGAAGGTGTGGTGTACTATGAGCTTCTAAAACCAGGTGAAACAGTTAATGATGATTGCTACCGACAACAAATAATCAATTTGAACCACTCTTTGATCGTAAAATGACCAGAATGGGCCAGAAGACACGGCAAAGTAATTTTGCTTCATGATAACACACCATCACACATTTCAAAACCAGTTAAAGACACGTTAAAAGATTTTGCCTGGGAAGTATTAATCCACCCGCTGTATTCACCAGACCTTGCTCCTTCAGATTACCACTTGTTCCGATCGATGGCACACGCACTTTCTGAGCAGCATTTCAAAACATACAAAGAAGTGGAAAATTGGGTCTCTGAATGGTTTGCCTCAAAACAAGAAAAGTTCTATTGG